GTATGTATACAGTATTGAACACTGTATTCTGATAGGGGTGTGGGGACTTTCCGCCCCATCTCTGGAGAAAAATTAAGTTGGGCTGCTCGTTCTTTCACAGAAAGCTTTGTATTTTTATCAATGAATACAAGACTTCCTCCAAATGGCTGAGGTGGAAAGGTGAGCAGATGATGTCATGATTCCCACCTCAACCATTCAGAGGAAGTCTTGTATTCATTATTAAAAATAGAAAGTTTCTTGTGAATGGCTGAGCAGAGCTCAGTTTTTTTCTGGGAACTGGACATATTATCTCTGTACCGCTGCCAGAAGTAGCTAGTAGTAGTTGGTCACATTCAACTGGACTTGTTCTGTAATGTAAAAATGTTTTGTAGCCTGTCCAAACCAAGTCTTCAGTTCCATGGAGTATCAGGAAAATAACCAGGCATGATGGGATTTCTTTCTTTCACTCATTTGAACTGAAGCGGCTTGGTTAAATGATGAAACTTAATCAGCATTACAGGACAAGTCCAGTTGAATGTGGCTACTACTAGCTAAACCATGACTTGGATAAATGCGAACCATCAGACATTTAGCATGTGGGGTGCACGGGTTGGTTCGAAGGTTCATTGGCTAATTCAACTTTACTTTTACTAAAAAAGAAATAATTACCTAAACATGGAACCTATATTCGGAAGACTCAGTTTGAGGCCATTCTCCTGGTATGTTACACCCCTTAGCTGGCATGCATAGAAAAGCAGAAACGTATATCTCTTGAACTATTCAAGTGTATATTTCATATCTAACCGTTCCGCAGATGCGTCTGCATATTAATCTACATGTGGACGGAATGTTACATGTACCTAGAAAAAATTATGGATCATAATAGCAGCCATGAGAGCATCTAGTCATAACTTCGGGCTCCACCTACACCTCCCTCCCCAAAAGGAGACCATTGGTTACTACTCCAAAGAGACACCCTGCTGGGATTTGCTAGAAAAGGCTGTTATGCTTGGAGTGTGTGTGAGAAAAGAGAAGAGTCTCCTGCTTTTAACATCGAAACTAGCAGTAGAGACAAGAAATCCTTTTTGGCTCATGAGACTTGAAGCTGCTTAACCCAAGGTTTTTTGGCAAGTACCTAACCCTCTGAATTCCTTTCTGTTATCTCTTTGCTGTGCTATTGTTCTCTGTGTATTTATATGTGTGTGTGTGTGTGTGTGTGTTTGTATATATGTGTGTGTGTGTGTGTGTGTGTGTATGTGTGTATATATATATATATATATATATGTGTATATATATATATATATATATATATATATATATATATATATATATATATATATAGGTTACATCTACTTTCTGTAAATATTTTTATTGCACCCTTTTTGACCTTTTTAGTAATATATCTTTCTTTCTGAAAGTGCTGAACTGTTTCTAAAGCTCTTTAATGCAGCTTACGAATTCCTGGTGCTGAAGAGCGCTATGTGTGTTTAACCCTCTGTATAACCTGCCTGCGGTGACAGTGGTATACAGACGATTATCCAATCATCCTAGTGTTATTGCTGATATTGCCGAGTTTCCTCTTTCTCTGTACAAAAAGGAGGTGGTGGCAGTGTGAAGGGTTAATTACGTAATTAACCTGACCCAGTACCAATCGCGCTCAGGCTGCCGGTACATCGATTTGTGGTGAGCTGGAAAATCACGTGACATCGCAGTTTTAGATTGGCTAGTCCTTCGGTCGCGAGTTTGGTGAAAAGGTCAGGGGTCGGACGCCGCGATCATCTCACAAGGCCTGCAACAATAGGACCATCACACATTGCGATGAGTTCCGATTCATTTCTCAAACTCTTTTCTGTTCTGGCAAAATAAACCCAAAAACTTGGTTGTTATTGGGAAGAGATGGCTTTATTTTTTAATTTTTCCACATGTGCGATTTGTATTGTACTCTTCAGGTCCTGTTCACATTAATATTGAATGTTTTTGCAGTAATATTAGGAAAGGGCTGTTTTGTGTGTCCACTCTCTGGAAACCTTAGACCACACTGCATTTCTGCAATGTACAGAACATAGTGCCAAGCTACCCATAACTGATACAATCATTAAGCAGATGTGTGTGTGTGTGTGTGTGTATGTATATACTATATGATCAAAAGTTTGTGTACACCTGATAATCTCACATACTATATGGCAAAAAATACTGTATGTGGCACCCCCTCCTAATTGAGTGCAGGGGTTTCCAGAGAAGGTTCTTGTTAATGTTACAGCATACAAAGAAATATTAAACAACTGTGTGCGTCCAACCTTGTGATGACAGTTTTAGGACTTGACTGTGCCCAAAAGTCAGGTCCAAAGCAGGGGCGGAATGACAACTCATGGGGCCCCCGGGCAATAGGGGATCATGGGGGCCCCTGTGTCATTGCCCAAACTCAAAAAAGCCTATGAAAAAGGTACCAGGGGCATCTCATGGGGCCCCCTACTGACCCCGGGCCCTCTATGTAACAAACTCTTATATTATAGGTTTGATAGTCAGGTCTCCACAAACCTTTTATATATATATATATATATATATATATATATATATATATATATATATATGTATATGGAAGAAACAGACTATTAGCATTAGTGTATACTGTATGTTGCTGTGTATGGGCATATATGATGTCAGCACTGGAGTTAATTGGTTGTAAAAGCACAGCTCTCTTCCTTCCAAGAACTGGCACTGCAGCAGCCCAGAGTGTCTCCCCCTCCCTTTGTGAAGTACGTGGCACAAACGGCCCCTCTTCTGCCCTGTAGAGATGACACAAGGATGAGGTTGCTGTCTTCTGCCCAGATGGACAGAGGGACATACAGAGACAGAAGGTTGGCGTGACGGAAGGTGAGAAGGGTACATACAGGAGGAAGGCTGGGTTTAGGGAGTTAATCTATCTATGGCTGATCGTCAGCCGTGACCAGAACATGGAAATGGAAACTTTTTTTTTTTTTTTTAAGTTGTGCAAGCGTTCTGAACTAAGCTAGCAAAAATGAAACCGTGTTTGGAACTTTGAGGGCCTGTAGGGGTGTTCTGTGTGATTGCCTGATACCTTCCTGTTATTCTCAGACATCAGGTATAGATAAAGCCTCTTGATCTGATTTAATGCATTTCTGCTATTTCTACTGCTTGTGCATGTAGTAGAGAGATGACCACACACTAAAAAAACTGATTGTATAATCTCCTTTTTGATCTGTCATCAACTATTGTAGTGCAGAGGCCTGCCTGATTTCATACAAATTTGTGTCGTGTTTGTGCACATTATTTTTATTATTCTACATTTTTTTTTTTTTTTTTTTAATATTATACATTTTTTTAAATTTCTGTTATTAAAATGTATTATTTTACAAGTTTGCACAGAACGTTACAAAATAAGAGCTGCGCACACTGTCGTCACTACAGGCAGTCCCCGGCTTACAAATAAGATAGGTTCTGTAGGTTTGTTCTTAAACCGGAACTACACTGTATATGAGCACCATATTCAAAGAGAACTCCCCCATCCATTCATGTGTCCATGCTTTATTTTGCTGAGAAATTACCGAAAAAACACCCCTAGCAGTTCTGTCAGTCTTGAGTAAGGGCAGATGATTCTTGTAGCTTTTACTTTCTGGATTCCATCTGCCCTTAGCTCAGGCATTGGCTGAGCTGAGAACCCTCCCTACTCTCCTGAATACTGCTGGGATACATGACATAATTTGCCTAGGCATGGAAACCAGGATGTAACTGAAGAAATGTATATATAAAAAAAAAAACAAGTAAACTTATCCATTCACTGAAAGCTTAAGATTAAAAATAGTCCATGTTGACTGAGAGAGTGAAGTTCCGCTCAAAGTTGAAATTGTAGGTAAATTAGAACAGGTATATTTTTTTTGGCTGGATTTACATTAAAAAAAAAAGTCAGATGTTTGTAAGTTGGGGACTGCCTATATGTGGATCCTGTATGATGATCTGATTGTATCAAATCAGGCAAAACCCTCACACAACATAGTTGATGACAGATCTAAAAAGGAGATTGTACAAATTGAATGAATTTGTCCAAGTTTTTGTAATAGGATATTGAACATAACTTGTGCAATCAGATTGGATAGTGTACGATCAGTTTTAAAAGGAACAACTTCCTGCCTTGTGAAAGCAGTGCTTTTTTTTTTTTTTTTATTATTTTTGCAGGGCAATGTGTACCTTTTGCAGCATTATGTGTAATGTGCATTGATTGGAGTTAGGCAGCAGAAGTCTCCACTCCTAGGGTTGCAGCCTTTGCTGCCATCATGGCAGGTTCCCCATGTTTACCGTTTTAACATCTTTAAAGACTAACTCCACTTTTGTTTAGAAAAAAAACCTTCCCCCTCTGGGTGATCTATGTACATTACAGGGATTTTAACAAACATTGTTGCAGATAACTACCTTTTGTTATTCTGAAGAAATAGCGGTTTGTCTGTGTCCATCTGTAGAATGAATCTGTATGGAGGGATTTCATAATTATCAATCAGCTACTGCGCCTGCAGGGCTCTGAGGAAAGTGGCAGGGTCTGCATCCATTTAGATGTGATTTCCCGTTGGGAGTATCCCACAGAATCTGACATTTGTTGTAGGAGATGCCCATAATCTGACTTGTATCTTGTTGCAGAATTCTGGGAAAATCAGTGAGCCAATCACACAACCAGGAGATGACATTTTGGGGGGGGGGGGGGGGGGGGGGGGCATTCCATACACCATACACCATACACCATCCACCATCTGTGTACAGATTGCCTTCAGGTAGCCATATTGCATTGCGTTTTACAGAGAATTACAGAGCTGCAGATTGAAAGAGGTTATTTTTTTATCACATTCAATTAGAATATGACTTATGACTTGTCACAATTGTATACACTATATTAATTTTTCTTTCCCACGAAAGTGGAGTTACAATGACGGGCGCAAGGCGGTTCTCTCGTTCTGGGAGGATGTCATATGACGTCCTCCTATTCTAACCGGGCATGCGTGGCTCCGGGAGCAATCGGCGGTGCGCTGTGTCCCTCGGACACAGCGGATCAATGGAAAGAGCCGAAGAGGTCGGCTCGCTCATGTGATCAGCTGTGTCCAATCACAGCTGATCGCATGTAAATAGGGAAATGGCGGTTATTGGTATTTCTCTCCCCATGAGCTGTCACGCTGACAGCTCAAGAGGAGAGCTGGTAATCGGAATCCCTCAGAGGGGACATGTACACTGATCATCAGAGCACTGATGATCAGTGTAGCCCCAGCAGTGCCACCTGTCAGTGCTCATCCATGCCACATCAATGCCACATATCAGTGCCCATCTGAGCTCCCTTTCACTGTCACCCATCAGTCCCAGTCAGTGCCACCTATCAGTGCCATATATGAGTCCTGCCTTTCAGTGCCCATCAGTGATGCTTGTCAATGCCCATCAGTGCCACCTACCAGTGCCTCCTCAGTGCCACCTATCAGTGTCCATCAGTGCAGCCTATCAGTGCCCATCACTGCAGCCTCATTAGCGGAGAAAAATCACTTTTTTTTACAAAGTTTTATAACAAAAACGAAGAAAAAACTGTTCAGTGGTTTTTGGTTTGTTTAAGAAAAAATAAAAAACCCAGAGGTGATTAAATACTACCAAAATAAAGCTCTGTCACAAAAAAATTATAAAAATGTTGTATGGGTACAGTGTTGCATGACCGCGCAATTGTCATTCAAAGTGCAACAGCGCTGAAAGCTGGAAATTGGCCTGGGCAGGAAGGGGGTATAAGTGCCCTGTAGGCTAGTGGTTAAACCACCTGATATATATTTTTTTATATTCAGTAATGTGTAAGGTCTTGTGTATGGTGGGGGAGGGGAGGTTACATGTGTTGTTGTGCATTTCAGACCCACAGGTCAGCAGATTTTCATTTGCCTTCATAGTTCAGTGTGGATTACCGTTCTGAGGTTTTGCATTGCATTTCTCTGAGCACAGCCTGTCCAATTGGAGATACAATTGTTTTGCCAGCATAGCAGGTCAAATGTAGTCTTTCGTGTTTTAAACGCATGTCTCATCTGTGCTGCTTTCACATGTAATAGGTTTACATTTCAAAGGAACACCCATACATACAATCCCAGTGATATTAAAAGGTAATTAAAAAAAAAAACAATGATAAACCTGTTATACTTACCTGCTCTATGCAATGGTTTTGCACAGAACAGCCCCAGTCTTCCTCTCCTTGGATCTGCTGTTTGCGCTCCTGGCCCCTCCCTCCTGCCCAGTGCCCCCAAAGCAAACAACTTGCAATGGGAGCACCCGAGCAGGCTTGTTCCCAAGCTTTTGCTCTGCATGTCCATTCACACAGAGTTGCGACTTGACCCCACCCCCTCTCTCTCAATGGCTCGCTGGATGTGATTGCTGTCTCAGCAAATGAGGAGGGAGAGTCCCCGGAGAGCAGAGGCTCTTGCGCACATAGCAGGATCACCATGAGGCTCAGGTAAGTATTAGGGGAGCTGGAGGTGCTGCTGCTGCACACACAAGTTTTTTCACCTTCATGCAGAGAATGTGTAACGGAAATGGTCATCCCTTGGTGCAGTTGGTTTTTTAGGATTTACCTTGTTATTTGTATGTATGCTGCTAGGGAAGGGTTGTGCTCTTCTGCTTATGGAGTGTGTGTGGTTACACCCTGTCTGAGGCTGCTGTACAAACCCTTTATACAAAGCAAAACACTGATTTCCTTTCCTTGGTCTATTTACAGTACAGTACTCTGTATGTCTCGGGCTCTGATTGTTACTTTTTCAGTGGAACAAAGGCAAAAAGAATCCACCCATTGCTGAAGTTGGAGAAAATACTGTCATGGGTCCTGACATCCCAGCAAAGCATTTTAGGGTGGGAAGATGTCTCACCGTCTTTGGAAATGAGACGTTAGACATTAGAAAAAAATACCATTTAAAAGGCAGCCTGCAAAAAAAGTGTTCTAATACTTACCAGTCCGTCAGGTGGGGACTGCAATCCTTGCTCTCTAAGCCCTGGTTCACAATGAATATAACTTTGAAATTGGGCGACTTCATTTGCCTTCTTGCATTAACTTGCATGCTGCAGGGAAGTTTGGAGCCTCTACCAAGCTTTTTTGCTCCCCGGGTAACCAATGGGCAGATTTCCACACACTTCCTTTCCAGTGACCCCAGGAACTTCGCTTTTCTATCATTTTTACCAAAAACTGATAAATCCATTTTAGGTTGACTAACTCTTTAAGAGCTTCAAGGTGTTTAGCAGTTTAAAAAAAAAAAAAAAAAAAAAACAACTAAATAAAGCAACAGACTTGATTCTGAGTAATTACAAAACAATCCTAAAATAAACTTCTTTAACAGAGCAGGAAGGCTTTATTCATCTACTCTAACTGTTGTCTTCTAGGATTCATCAAACCTTGAACATGGCGACTGGACCCTATTAGGCTGCTTTCACACTGAATAGTTTTTGCTTGATTTGTTCAATTAAAAAAGCAGAAGAAAATGCAACTCTTTACACTGGTCTGTTGCGTTTCAGTTGCATTTTTAAAAATCCTGTTTGCTGCATTTTTGGTGCATGTTTGGTCAGGTAAAAAAAAAAAACACAAAAATTCACCTTTCCTTTGAAATGAATAGAAAACACTGTGAAAACCCATAAAAAATGCCCAGAGATATGAGGAAAAAACGTAAAGCAAATGCATAAAAGTTGCAACACAGAGGCAAAAACGCATATTGATTTTTGATACAGAGCAGTGTAGAAGTAGACTTAAAGTCTATGGGAGACTTTTTTTTTTTTTCTTAAAGCATGGGAAGCTGGGCACTGCCATGGGGGACGTGTTCCAATGCAAAAAAATAATGTTCAGTAGGGAGCTGGTCTTTTAATGCAGCTCAAATAGCCCTGGCCCTTGGGGCACAATTCCTGTCATTGACACAAGGTAATATTCCTTCTACTGGCACCAACAGTGATGTACCATTGTTTCCATTGCAACAAACGGTTGGACATATTTCCTCTCCGTGACATCAACAGTGGGGTCCTTTTCTTTCCACTGACACAAACGATGGAACATACTTGCTTCCTCCCACTGATATAAGCTTTAGAGCACTATTCCTCCCACTGATACAAACAATAAGGCACTATTCCTCCCACTGACACCACTGATGGGGCACTATTCCTCCCACTGACACCAAAGATTGGGGCACTATTCCTCCCACTGATGGGGCACTATTCCTCCCACTGACACCACTGATGGGGCACTATTCCTCCCCACTGACACCAAAGATGGGGGCACTATTCCTCCCACTGACACCACTGATGGAGGCACTATTCCTCCCACTGACACCAAAGATGGGGGCACTATTCCTCCCACTGATGGGGCACTATTCCTCCCACTGACACCAAAGATGGAGGCACTATTCCTCCCACTGACACCAAAGATGGGGGCACTATTCCTCCCACTGACACCAAAGATGGAGGCACTATTCCTCCCACTGACACCAAAGATGGAGGCACTATTCCTCCCACTGACACCAAAGATGGAGGCACTATTCCCCCACTGCACATTCCTCCCACTGACACCAAAGATGGAGGCACTATTCCTCCCCACTGACACCAAAGATGGAGGCACTATTCCTCCCACTGACACCAAAGATGGAGGCACTATTCCTCCCACTGACACCAAAGATGGAGGCACTATTCCTCCCACTGGCACCAAAGATGGAGGCACTATTCCTCCCACTGGCACCAAAGATGGAGGCACGATTCCTCCCACTGGCACCAAAGATGGGGCACGATTCCTCCCACTGGCACCAAAAATGGAGGCACTATTCCTCCTCCTATTGACCACGGGCGCTATGTAATTTATTTTACTCTTACTATCCACCAAGCCCAAGAAGTAGAGGAAAGTAGTGAACCTTGTTGTAGTAGTGAATTCCTTTATATCAGTGAGCTGATTCACTATGAATTCTGACACTGCTAAATTTGCCAACCACAAATGCATTTAAAGCAGAACTAAACTATAGCTGAGCAACACAAACTGAAAACACTATTTTATTCATTTTCACTATTCAGAGCCAACTCACCCATCCATCCATGTCTCCATGCTTTATTTTGAAAAACCCTCCATAGTATTTCTAGTTGTGGCCATTTTGTGTATTTACTTCCTGGAATCCATCTCCCTGTAGCTCAGGCATGCAGGCAGGAGGGTGTGCTTAATTGTGAAAGCTCCTCCTCCAGCTTAAAGAAAAAAAATTGCCGACAAAGACTCCTGAGATGTATGACATTATGGCCTGGGCCAGAAACCAGGAAGCAACTGAAGAAATGTAAAAAAAAAAAAAATGATGTAATCCAATGCAGATCGCATTGCATACGTTCTTTCACAGCCATACTGGCTGGGGAAACTGACCTGGAAGTGATGTTTTACATGTCACTTCCGGGTTAGCAACAAGGAGAGTGGACGTGTGTCCGCTTTCTTTCCCCTCTACCCGGTGGCACCCGCTATGCCAGTCCCGGGCCCACGTATGGGTAAGCAGAGCCCAGTATACATGGCTGGAGGTCGCCTGTTACCGGGGGATATGAAAGCAATCCGGCTCCGACAATTGTGTCTCTATGTGTTGATGTGCAGATTAAGGTCTTGTTTTATGAGGTCTGTACTGAAAATACTGCAAAAGTGGGCATAACTTTTTTTTTTTTTTTTTTTTTTTTTTTTTAATAAACTTACATAGGTTGTTCAGATTTCACGTGTTGGTAGAATAACTCTTGTTCTTCTTTTTCATTGCAGATAAGTAATAGATTTTAAGAAGAAGCGACATGCCTTCACTGAGTTATTGATGAAAGATGGTGCAGGGTGTCCAACATCCACAGAAGGATACAATATGTTTAGGGGATGACAGAATTGACAAGAACAATGTGCACAGATGGATGAAGACGTTTTTTTTTTAATTCTCCATGCAAACCAGGCTAAAAAAAAAAAACCCCACCATTTCCCTTGGCAGAAAAAAAAAACACTGATTTTTGTACACGTTTAGGAGTGTTTAGTGTTTTTCAAACACAAACCAGAAGGGTTTTTATTCCGGCTTCTAAATGCTGAGCTTAAATGGTATAATCTCTGTAAACATTCTGTAGCCTTCTGTGGACGTCAGACAGCTTGCACCCCTCCTTCATGAAGAGCTCAATGACAGCATGTTGCTTCTGCTTGGAATACATTATTCACCTGCAATGAAAGAGTTACTCTACCAACATGAAATTTGAGCAGCCTATATAAATTAATGAAAAAGTTATGCCCACTTTTTGCATTACTTTCGGTACAGCCCTTGTAAAATATTCAAATTTTTTGAGTTTCACCTGTGTATATATATCGTGCAAAAGTTCATTTATTTCAGTAATGCAACTTAAAAGGTGAAACTAATATATGAGATAGACTCATTACATGCAAAGCAAGATAGTTCAAGCCGTGATTTGTCATAATTACGATGATTATGGCTTACAGCTCATGAAAACCCCAAATCCACAATCTCAGAAAATTAGAATATTACATG